ACTGACAGGGTGTTTCACAGATTTAATAATGACTGAATATTAAACAGTGAGGAAGATCATAAACTGTGGGAGACGAAAAACGACTCCAGAAGCAAATAAGCATTTAAAGTTCAATGCAATGAAAAACTCTGACCATAAAATATTTCTGCTGTTGTTGCTTTTTTGTGACATTTTAAATCTCCTTCATCATCAGATAAATGTTTTTTTTTTCCAGACCAAAAGTTTCCCATTTACTAACAAAAAGTAGTTTTTAAATGATTGTTTAATTTATTAATGGAAAAAAAAAAACTATTCGAAACAACCTGTATGTATGTGAGAAAGTAATTGCCCCTGAAACAACTGTCACCAAGTGTTTGTGATGATTCACAATGAGTGTTTGGATCACTATGGAGCAACCTTTCTTTTCTTTATACATTTACTTTAAAGCAGTCACACAGGATGGTGTTTGATAATAAACAGCGGATTGAAAGATATATGACACCATCTCAATTGGATTTAAGTCTCAACTTTGACTAGACCTTTTCAAAATCCTTGAATATAGCTCTTTATGTCTGAAATGCTATCAGTTTTATTACAGATGTAACAAGATGCTCACTTTTTTGGGTATGTGATGGACCTTTTTAAAAGATATTAACTAATGATATTGACTAAGCTATTATATCTTTGTAATTGCAGTTGATGAAAAATTTAAGAAAAAATTGATCTGTAAAGAGCAAAGAACATTTTACAGCACTGAAATGAAAGAAATGAAGAATAACAAGTTTAAAACATGAATGAGAACACTGATGGGTGTAAAATAAAGACAGAGAATCAAATCCTGAATGATAAAGAGTGAATAATTATTTTTTCCTCTCCGGTGAGCGTCACAGCTTTAGTGTAAATTTTTGATTTGCCAAATTTTTCAGGGACGGCTGCACGTATCTGGCCAACAGCCAAAAGCATGAAAAGCCAAAGAGGCAAAAGCAATAAACCTTATGCTGTGATGAGATTTACAACAATCCAACTTGAACATGTGTATCGAGAAATAAAAAGCTTTTGTCTGATGAAATGTAATTTGATTTCGCAGCGTGCAGCCGGTGAGTGTTGGACTTTAGCGGCGCAGGCTGCTGGAAGCTGCCAAGACAACGAACAGGCTCTCTCCCCCGAAGAAACCCACACAGGTGGGGAAGATAAAACAAGGACGTGAATTATAAACACTAAAGGAGACATGTGAGCTTAGCCTACAATCACTTTGCAAATAAAGGATTCAGCTGGAGTTCAGAAACCAAATTTGAAACTCATTATTTTGAAACTGTTTTTCAGTCCTGATTATTTAAGCCATTATTAGTGCAGCTTTAAGAAAGTGACGTTATATTCAGAAGAAGAAAAATACATGAACCTTTAACGTTAGATGAGTCATTAGCATAGTGGAGAGTGTTCATTACACCTTTTCTATAATTACGTCTTCAATGTAATTATAGAAAAATTACAGAAAAATCACATCTGCAAGTTGCACTGTGTGGGTTATAATAATAAAATGCCCACATGGAAAATAAAAAAATGAAAAGGCAGATAGTGTTCCTCAGCATGCTGAGTGGGGCCTCAGTGAAGCAGAAATATTGATCTACGTGATGTAAATTGTGAGTTTTTACTTCAATAAATTTTGTTTATCAGGATTTGTTGGTAGTGCACTGATGCTTATTATGCAAATGTAATATTTGTAGAGAATATTAGGTTAAGAAAAATGGTTCTCCAAAGGATAACTCAGCAGCTAATGTGGCAGAATTATGTGTACTTCTTTTTCTTTAGCTTTTTGAATTAATTTTCTGATTTATAAGGAGGTCATGGGCGGTTTACAGACAAACAGGACTTCAGTTGTTGATGCTGATCTATCATCTGTGTGATATATCTGTCCGTCCGTCAGTCCATCCATCTATCCATCCATCCATCCATCCATCCATCTATGCCTATAGTTCTAGCTAGATAGAAATCAGCTAGCTAGCTAGAACGATAGAAAGTTTTGTGGAGATTAGGATTAGGATAATTTTTATTACAATACAGAGCTATTCTGAAGAAGAGTTAGCAAGATTTAAGCTAGCTAGCTTCTCGTTTAAGCTAGCTAGACATAAGCCAATTACCTTAAATCTAGCTAGCTATCTCAGAATAAACCCTGTATTATGTTGAAAAGTTATTCTAATCGCCACTGATAAGTCAAATATTTTATTACATTAACCCTAAAAAACATTGGAGTCACTTAAACTCCTGGCATCCCCATCGTTTATATTTTTGTTAATTGCACTTTACTGGTGGCTGTTGACTTCTGTCATTGGCTCACAATGTGAGTCAAAGCTAAAATATTGAAACTGTGTTTTGTCTCATAGCATTCTCCCGAGCGAGGTATTTTGGATAGTTTCTGCCTTAAGAAGAGCCCAGGGCAAGCTCAAAATACTCTGGAGAAAATGTGTCATTTGGTTGGCATGGAAACGCTTCAGTTTCCCTGAGGAGGACAAGCTTCAGGGGGTCACAACGGAGAGCGATTCTTGTCCATCTGTTTAGACGCCTCCAACGTTTGGACCCCGATAAACTGCACCGACAGCAAAAAGGGTGTTTTTCTATCAAACGTTCTATCTCAAAGTGCTCATTAATTTAAATTGAATTAGTCAGAACATTTTAATACAACCTAAAACAACATAAATGTTTGATGTTTCTCTTCTTTAAGGTGTAATCTTGTTTATTTAAGAAATTTTAATCACCAGTACAGCAGTAAAACAAGCTGAAGTAGCTGAAGTTTGTTGTGTACATGTGTGTTTGATCAGTGATTTGTGCTGCTAAGCAGAGAGAAGAAAATCCGTGTTAGTAGGTTACACTCTCAGCAAATGCCAGCCACAAGAGACCTGTCTGAAGTGCTCGTGTGCATCCATGGGCTTTACGCCGCCGTGCTCCAGTTTGTTGTGTAAGCCTCTGTTCAACTCAGAGTGTGCAGAAATGTTTGACACTTGTGCTTGGCATAGACATCTTCTGTGTGCAATTGGCTGTTTTATGTCAGAAGAAGCGTGAGAATCAGGTCAGTCTCCTGGGGAGACGAGGAGCAGTGGGATGATGGACAGATAAATGAGGGAGAAGTGAAACAAGAATAAGAAAACGGTGAAGAAATGCTGATGCAGGTGGGCAGTGGTGTTGGTGCCATAGATAATTAGAGGGCGGATACAAACAATACAGACTTTATTATATGTGGTTGCAGGTGACATGTATGCTTTGTCGAAGTTTGGATGACCAACAATCAGGTTTTATAAGATAGAGATAACATAACAAAAATTGTAAATAGTTCAAAGGTTATGAAAATATCTACAATAAGTTTGGTTTTTGTGCACATTATCAAATGATTCACTTGTTGTTAGCAGTTCATTACACATCCACTCATTTCCAGCTTTCTGAACTACAAGGGTGAGACTGATAAAGTCTCTTCCCACTCTCTGCTACGTTGAACAGTATATTTGGCCTTGAGAAGTAATGAGAAGTCATCCATCAATGCAAGGCATTGATATGATGCATCATATCCTCCCAGTAGTGCAGCACAAATTGACGTTTGAAACACTTAAACTGGCCAAAAATGTATATTAGCACATCCAAATCATTTGAAAGTCATTATATAAGGTTATCAAAGACAAAATTTTACTCTAAAGCTGCATAGTGATGATTATGTGAGTTTCCCAAAGCCATAGATGAAGCTAACTTTTGTCGCTATTTGATTTACAAATATTTCATCAATGTAAACTTACTTCCTTAATCCTGTAATAACATTAAGTCACAGTATTTTGTTGAATAAAGTCTATTTAAACATTGAGAACAAGAAAAGAAGTTGGAAATATGAAATGTTATGTGTGGGTATGAGTGTCCTGCTGAGGCAGCGAGATGTGTGTGTGGGCTGCAAAATGAGCTGCTCAACATGCAAATATGTGCAGCATGTATCTTTTCCACGTTGTTTACTACAAAGATCACAAAGTTAATACAATTCTTATTCTTCTGATTATTTAACTGGCCAGGAGCTTGATGAGTTACCGGTGGATTTCACTGTGTTTTCTGACCCGATTCATATTGCACGTTATATTGTAATAACATGTACCTACATCTAGCGCCTCATAAAGTCATTTCATATGGATTCTTGAGAATAAAAATGTTACTTTGGTTGTGATGTGGAGATACAAGTTTAATCAGCAACCCTTAAAAGGCTGTGCATCATTGTGCCAGCAGGTGTCACCCGAAGGCGCAGTGGAAAAAGGTTTGAGTGAAAATGGTTCAGAACACCTTCAAATGACTTGTTAGGTCATAATTTGCCAAAATTTACCATAGAAAGTACACCTGGTTTTGGGCTTGGGTGTTTAACTATGTCTCTTCTCTAACTGGAGCTATTTAGAAAGCTTGTCTTTCTTATTTCATAAAAAAATAGCCATTGCCCATGGTTTCTGTGTTTTTTTCAATGTCTCCTTCATGAAATCTAAATCCCTAGCCAGTCACTGTCAGTGGTACCAATGCCACTTCTGCTGGAGAACTTCCTGTTAAAATAGAGTTCTTTCTCTCTACTATCACCGGATGCTTACTCAGGATAAAGTATTGCTGCAAATTTAATGATTCAATAGCTTATGCAGCCCTTGACTGCATGCAATTAGATCTGAATCTGTGCATGACTGGACTGTACGATGAAAATGATATATAGTATAATTGTATATGAAATTAATCTGCTGCCTTGAGATGGTATTTGTTGTGAATTGGTGGTAAGAAGATTAAATTCAATTAAATTGATAAACAACTGCTATGGTGTGCTGTATATCATTACGGAACATTCAAAAATATATAATAAACTATTTCAAAGGTAGAAGACTTGTAGATTTTTCTAGCCTTTGATGTCTTAGAGTCTGGAGACCATTTGCATATTCATTATGAAAATTATTAGTCATTCTAGGGTTGCATGAAATTAACATCTTAAGCATAAACAAACAACAAGAAAAGCACATACAGAGCGATTACTTGTTATTTAGCCTTTATTAAATAATAATAACATTAAAAAAAGAAATTCTTCTGTACAAAGTCTACAAACAACAGTTTGAGTTTTCTGGCCAGTGCCGTCGGTGTGTCATAATGTACTGTGTTTGTGTCAGTCAGTTGTGCATAAGTCAATATGTGTGCCTGTGTGTAGCCTTCAAAGACAGAAGAGGTAATACTATCTGGGTGTTCAGAGGGAAATGAAGCAAAGCCAAGCGGGAGACAGAACAGGTTAACCTTGCACATGTGCTCACTGCTCACTCATTGATGTTTTGGTTGCATTGTGTGTAAGAGAAGAGTCGGAGTGAGACATCAGTAGGGAAAGAGAAAGAGTCAGAGATCAAAAAAGATAGAAAGCTCCAAGGCACTTGGAAAACAGTCCAAATAATAATAATAATAGAAAATAATGGAGAGAAATTTCTTCATCTCTTTCTTTTGTTTCCTTATTCTCTCTCTCTCTCTCTTTTTGGCAATCATTTAACAAAGATGATGCGTTTACTCTCTGTGTGCATTTTATGGCTACATTAACGCATGCCTATGACAGTCGAGAGACGAAAGAGGAAATCGAAATGGGCTCCAGGCAAAGATGCAACTCGTTTCTCTCCTTTACTTCCACTTTTCTGACAAGTGTGACCCAAATCCTATCGGATTCACAGGGAACAGAGACTCAGAAGGACTTGACAAAATCTGATCATCCAGCAGAGTGAAACGTGAACATAGAGAGTGAAAAACAGGGAGAGGTCTGTGTCTGATTCTGAAGATGACGTTGTCACTCCTCACCACCACCAGCCTAGTATTTCTTCAGAGGACCAAGTTTTAATAAATAGAATGTGAATAACATGCCCTGTTTTCTGGCAAGATGTATTTTTTTAACTTTCATGGATTCTCATTTTCTGTTGCTTTAGAAATCCCTAAAAAAATGTCCATTCAGTGCTTTAAATACAATAAGAGAAAAAAATAGTATTCACATCTCTTAAGTTCAATAGTTCAATGTATTTTGTGGATTTGAAGGGTTTTCCAACAGGGTGTTTCTTATTTTTAGTCATCTGGTCATAAATACTTTTACTTCTAATCAGCAGATCAGCGCTAACAGCAGAGCTAATCTTTTGTTTAGCCCCTTAGTGTTTTTGCTAACTTTGAAAATGTTAAGCGCACTTAGTTTCCTATTAATTATTTTTCCAGATAAATTCTAAAGTGCTAATGTACTTGGCGGTTTCTTTAACTTTGAGTTTAACATCTGTGTTGAAGTTTTGGGTGTCGACTGTTGAAAACTCTCCAAGTAGTTAGATATGTATATGTTCATGCTCTTATTTTGAAGTGTTTTAAGACTGTTTATGCGTACAGTTCAAGGAATTTCCTCGCCTCACGTTTCCCGCCCATCTTTTGTTGCGGTGAAGCAAATGATGATTATTCTGTACCCGGAACGCATCGCTGTAAAACTGGCAAACAATTTAAAATCTGCCGACTGAAGCCAGAAATGGACAATTAGGCTAAATCAGCACAAAATTAGCAATACTCAACAACTATAAGACTGAAATAAACGGTGTTTGAAAGAATCACTTCCTGAAACGCAACCATACATGTGGGTGTGAAATAACAAATGTGACCCTGCTTAGGGCGATATACTACATGTTGCAACACATGTTGGGTATAAACATAAGTTTAACTAGTGCTTTAGCATTAGCTTCTGCTAATGTTGGTATAGCATGTTAGCAGAACCAATGCTTATGATTAGCGCTTTATGAAAATCAGTCAACACCAACCTTGGAAACTCAGACTAGCTGCACAGCATTCTTCGCTATCCTTCATGATTTGCACAAACCTTTTAAAACATTATAAATGACACAGGACAAATGTGATTATTTTTCACTGTAAATATTTTGTTGATATTTTATACTATGTGAAGCATTAAAGGCACCTCATCTGAATTTTCTGCCACCAGCTCAACAACACAAGGCCACAAGAAAAACTGTAACATTTTCATTTAGCTCTGATTTTTTTATGTGCTCTTCTTAATAAAATTAGAAAATGAGTCTGAAAACTTACTATGCCTATGTGTTTAAGTCTAATTTTTCCTACTGATTAAAGTCTGGACCTATTTTGATTTTTTTTCTGACAAGTAAACATAACCATTGCCTTAAGTTACTTTCTTTCTGACCTCCTCTGTGTCTTTTGTTGAGCTTTTATTTGTCAGGTATCAGAACTGAAATAAATTGTAAGATGTGAAACATGGGAATCAAAATACTAGACATAGAAATTTAAACAGATAAGTTTAGGATTTGATCTTTAGTTTATGATAAAAACATGATTTGTGTGTTTTAAGTGGGATTGTGTAGAGTAATAGTGGAGTTTTATTTGCATTAGAAAGCAGTCAGAGTAATCTCAGTTTGGAGAATCAGAGATGAAGGAGAGCTAAGCTAGCTAAAGTTCCACTTTAAAAGGAAATTGTCCATATATGAAACAACTAAAGCCAAAAAACTATCAAGCACTTTTTCAACAGTTTGAACAGTTTTACTTTTTAAAAATGTTCTCAATCACGACATGTTCAATAATGGCTAATGGGCACACAATATTACGATTGCATTGAAAATATTACAACTGCCCAGATACACAAACAAAATCCACTTCCATTGTCAAACCATGGTAAATCTATATATTCTTCTTTGTACCTTTGCATTTTTATGAATTATTTGAAAAAGCTCAAATCTAATGTGATTTGCGTATCATTCAGTGAAAACTTTGTACTGAATTTGATGTTTCCTTATAAAATCTAGCCGATTATGACCCAAGATCAAATTAAAATGACTGATATGAGCAGGGGTGACAATATTTTTGTAGTTACGTTGCCACATTTCCTTACAATAGACTAAGATTAGATTACAGAAATACGCTTTCAAACAACTAGTGGTAGAAATTGATGGATAGCTGGTAAAAAATGTGTACTTGTATCATGTTGTACCCCAAAATAGTCACTTACAAAACGACTAATACTTCAAGAATAGAACATAGAAAATAAAAATAGAGTCAAATAACAAACAAAGTGAATTTTAGCTGAGGGGTTTAGTTCTCATTTGGAATTATTACAGTATTTTTTGATTTAGGGAAAACTCTCAAATATGTTTTAGTAATAATTTCAAGTTATTTAGGTTCAACATGTAGACATTGGGAAACTGCAATAAAAACAAGATGTTCCTGGAAAAAGAAAAATGTGATTTCTTTTTGGTTCTCCAAACTGAGGTTCCTGCTGCAGGTAAGATACTCGCAGCTCAGACCTACTCTGCATAACATCAAACAAACCAAACTCCACCTTTAAAGTTGAGGTGTGGGCCTGAGGATTACGTAAAGTCCTGAAAACAGAGGAGCGTAGATATTTGCATGTGTGTGTAGATGTGAGTGTGTGTCTCATTTGAAGCATCAGTCTCTCCAGCAGCACTGGCCCTCCGTAATGGCTGTCCTCCAATACAGCGTATACTGTAATTTGCTTAAGGCTCCATTGTGTGTCTAAAGAAGTCAACGGTATGATTCCCAATCCTTATCTTCAGTCATCTTTCTGCATTTTTGCCCCCAAACAGGCTTCTTAGAATTGAGAGCGATGCTACAACATCATGTCGTTTCATCACTCCCAGTCCGCCCAGCCACATTTAACACTTGTTCAGACCCACTGAGCACATACACAGCTCTTTGGCAATCCATAGGTTGCAATAAAATAATTACTGACATTTTGTTTACACAGTGTCTGTCCATCATTTGGGCATCATACAGTCTGAAAAGCAAAAAAATATAGATATATATATACCAAAAAACCAAAAACTCTAGAATACTGAATCTAAAGCACAACTCCATAACAGCATGTTAGATTTGTTTGTTTTTTTTTGATAAAACTCTGATTTTCTGTCTTGAGTATAACTTTTCCCTACTCTTAGACTGATAATCTGTAATGGGAAAAGTAAAATAGAAAAAGGACTAAAGTAACAGCTAAGACCATGGAGTTCAACAAAACTCTAAAAGAAAGGTCTAAAAATGGCATAAAAAGCTCTACAGGGCTGCTATGAACTGAAGCTCGCTTTTTCTTCACCTTTTTTTTTCATCCAAGTGGACACAAGTCTAAAACAGAACAAAAACAGTCACCATTACTTCTCTATGCCACTGGTTTCACAAAGCGCAGACCGAAGGCGGACAAAGGAGCTAGCGGGCGCCGCATGGCAGGCTTATTGACGTTTAAAACTCACAGAACTCATACCAGAAACTTTCAGAAACAAAACGAAAGGGAAAGAAAATATTTGTCTCCTTTTCCTTTTTCACTGGAAAAAAAAAGGTCTAGATTTTTTTTTACGTCGTTTCCTTTTTAAGCTATTTAGAATGGTAGGCATTCACTTGATATGTGTTGATTTGAGTCAAAAGTACCCAGATTAAAACGGACCACTGGAGAAGTCTTCACAAGCAATCGGATGCAAACACTTAGATTTTTTCAACCCATCTTCTTTTGGAAGATGAGGAAAAACATCTAAAGTTCTGCAAAGTACCGTTCAGAAATTCGTAACTAGAACACCCCGGACTGTGCTGCCATTAGACGTCTAAATGTCCAGATTGTCACGGGTGCTGAAGTCCACTTCATTCCAGTGGTTGGTGGGATGTATCTTATGGTACTTCAGTCATTTATATTCTTTTATTTCATTCCTTCATTCAATCATTCATTCACAGGCTTTTAGAATCGAGCAGGTTTCTCCTGCAGGCAGAGGAGAAAAGGGACTCAGTTGCTTAAGGGGAATCAGGGATCAGACGTTCCTTCGCTCTAGACCCCCCACCGCCAGCACATAGAGAGTTCAGTGCTACCCCCGTTTGACATCAGAGCTAAGGAGTAGCAAGATTTCAGGCAGGGACGAGGGTTGAAATTTCAGATAGGGCTTCTTTTTCATGTCTCTGTCCAAATAAGAAGGAAGGAAAATCTTCAGGGGATGTCCGTCATTCCTCATGCCTCTGAGCAGCACCTCTGCTGGTTTATCTTCACTTTGTGCTTGATCCCGTCGTACAGCTCAAAGTTGTAGTTCTCCAGCGTCGTGGAGGAGCGCGAGGAGAGCCCGCTGTACGAGCACGTGCAGTACAGGAGCAGGCCGGCGCAAACGGCTCCCAGCAGGACGCCCAGCGAGCTCATCACGATGATGGTGAGGAGGATGGGGTCCAGCGTGTACAGCCAGGCGTTGTCCTTGTCCTTCTCCGACACCAGCGTCACTGAGGATGGGTCCATGTCGGAGGACGGGGTGGAGAAGGACGACGGCCAGCCAGTGAAGTCAAAATCTGGAGACAACACAAGAAATTTAGGAAAAAATACTTTTACACGTGCGATAAAAACCTACAGGCTAAAGTTTCTGTCCATCTTGGAAGTTTTGCAACAAATTTTCAATTTTGGTCTGGGCTTTCACTGGGTCGTTCTAATGCATGGATGTGGTCTGATCTAAAGCAGGGTTGACAAATCCTTGTCCTTAGAGGCGACCTGTTATGTTTCCTGGAACAGGTTAAGATAGGTCAACATGTTCATTACATTTTTTCCACAAAGTTTTTCTTGGTAATGAGATGTTAGTCAGGTCGGTTCTGCCGTTTTGAGGTCCTTTCAGAATGAGCTGTTTAAGGCGTATTGTCACTTTAAATCCAAATAAGCAGCCACGCCCTCCAACTCAACATTTACACTTGCACGTGAAAATGACTGCAAATAGATGCACAATTATACATCTTTGAAAAGCAGAAGTGGAGCCTCATGCACAATCAACAATAATGCAGGAAGTGGTTTCTGGATGTTAAGTCAACAACAAAACAGTTGTCTTTCCAGCAGCCACTGCATATAAGTGAAACCAACTGACCCAATGCTGAAGCTCAGCTTGGGTTGCCAGGTAACGGGCTGGGCTTGACTGGGGTTGCTAGGTGATAGGCGGTGCTTGCTAATTTGTGACATTACATTCCGAATTCCAAAGGCCTCTGCAGAACTTAATGACATACTGAGAGGGTAATTCAGTGATCGCCTTTGCTATGTTGGAACGGAGACGCTTGATGTAGGAGTTGGACAGCTCTGATCTTTTAAGTCAATAAGCTGCTTCTCTCCCCTAACTTACAAAATAAAATGTCTTGAACCGCAAAAAGATTACATGTATCAATATGCACTACATGATCTGTTGTAATTGAAAAGCTAATGAAATTAAACTAAAACATGTATTCATATTTAGAAGAAATTAATCATGAAATTTTTACCCAGGGCAAAAACTTGTAAATGGTAGCCTACATAAAAACATAAATCAAAACCTCAACATTACTTTTACAAGTCTTGTACAATTGCTGCCATTCTGTTGTAGATTTTCTACACATGTATTGCATAAAAACATGAAGAACTGTTAAACCCACCTTTTTAATTGTCTTTATGGTTAAAAACTTTTATTACAAAAATACTATATTTTGCATTTTGCATCTGCAAAATGTAGAGTGCAGACGTGTTGAGGCTTTTCAATGTCTAAACTTCTTTTATTGGTTCAGAATGATGCCTGTTTATCTATGTGGTAAAACAGTGATGCAAATGTCTCTTTTTTAGCATTTTATGAGAAGCCCACACAGAAAAACGCTCCAGACAGACAGTAAACAAGCATTTTAGAAGACAAACTGCAAGTATTCTCTTGTAAATGTCTAGGGGCTGGAAAAAGCAAAAAAATAAATAAATAAATAAAATTCTCTAGACTGTGATTGCTACAGTCATGTTTTTCTGTGTGTACAGGAGTGATCTGTCTGTCGTGCTTTATGGGTCATTGAAACATGAAAAACAACGACAAAAAAAGACACTACATGCAAAAAAAAAATCGTTTGAATGCTCGCTAACATTCTTCTTCCTTCTGTGCAAACTCTGTCAGACTGCTGCCACAGGCTTATTTCTTGTGGAACTTCATGTATAAAGAAGAGCTACAGGCATGCCTCTGCTAACAGTATTTCCATTAAAGTGTGTGGGTGAGACAGACAGTGTAGCCTCTGGCTGCCGGAGGAGAGGACCTTACCTTCATTGATGTGCTGCTTGTGATTGAAAACAGGATCGTTTCCGGAATCTTTAGGCTTCTGATCTGTTGGAGAGACAGAAAGAAAAGCTGCATTAATCTCCCCTGTCCACTCACTTACTCCAGAGTTTAGATCATGTTGTGATAACATCAGTCCATCTCCGACGCTGTCAGCACACAGCAGCTGCATTTGTAGATGGAAATCGCTCGGTACAATCGCCTCGATCTCGTTTAAAGTTTTCTAAAGAGATCAAACAACAAATCTCACACAGAAACCTTTTGTAGTGTCTGTGTTCAGTCTGTCGAGGGAAGAATATAACGCTGTACTCTTCAGCCAGGCTCCCCACCAGTTCCATAGGGTGATAAGGATCAGTGTTTTTTTTTATTTTATTATTATTATTATTATTTGCTTATAAATGAAAAGAAAAGTTGGGAGATTGAAAGAGAGTGTGAAGATAGGGAGGAGAAAGACAGATAAAGACACACAAAAGCTTTTATTTTGATAAAAAAATATTACTTTTATTACTTTCACATTCACCACAACCATTTTTCTTTTACATACCAAGCCAGAGAAATTCAACAAGCTAAAATACCATGTTAAAACTGCTGAGTGCAAGACTTTGAAGGCTTTGTTATAGGCTCAGTTCTTGTTCAGGTTGATTTGAGAATAAAAATCAAAATGGAGCAATATCTGTGGAGCTGATAATCATTTATTAGGAACCAAAAGCACTTTATAACCAGAAACTGTAATAGATATTCAGAAGATAGGAGGCGAAAACTTAATTTAGGGTGTGCAGGGAAAAGAAAAAAAAAAGATATGGAGCCTCATTTCCTCCGTTAGATAAGGTCATTCATCCATGAGACAAGTTTGGCATCTTCAATTTTATAGATTCAATAAACTCCAAGCTTCAAGTTCTCCTTTAACTGTAAATAACAGTGAGATTAAAACTTTTAAAGGACACCCGCTGTAAAATTTGAGGTTTCTATTATAAAAAGTTGACATACAAAGCTGAAGAAAAAGAAGAAACAAACACTATATTAACAAAGATGAACCTTTGCATATCCGATCAGAGAATGAGCATTTTCTGTGTTATGCATCAACATTTCATATCAGCAAAGTCCAACACAAATCAACAACAGTTTATTTCCTTTCTCACAATAATAACAGCAAAATGTGCAAATAAACATTGTTTTTAACTAATGACTGTGTTTTACTATGTCAAGAGTCAAAAATGATCTCCAATATAGAAACTAGTGAAAGGTTTGCATTATCTAATCAGGGGAGTACACTTTATTATCTGGAGTTTTAACAGACAGATGTATGTATTAATATTTGGTTAAACCTAATGATGTTGTTCTAACTGCCAAGAATGGTGATGGCAACATCATGCTGTGGGTTCACACATTTTAAAACTGGTGCATTGCACAAACTGGATGGAAAATACAAGACGGAGAAATGTTTTCAAATTTCCCAGTAAACATCAACAGGGAGACAGTAAAACAAATCAGAATTACAGGCAAAACTGGATATGAAATGTATAAGCAGAAAACTTGAAACCTCAATAAAAAGTGAAGACCATTCCAGGATTTAAATTAACTTAGTCGATTTTGCCAAAAGTGTCAGTGTGACCAGAAAACTGGTTACACTGACAGTTTTCTGTCAGTTTTCTGCTTGCTGGAAACTACAAAGCTTATGTGATCAAGTGTAAGATGGGAGTTTAGGTGTATTGCATCATGAGAAAGTAATTATTAAAATAAATGATTAAAAGCCTAAAATTACCATGACAACCATGCACACGAGTTAGTGTAAAGTTCTGATAAAAAGTGGATACAGATGTCTGAGTTGAAAGGAACAAACAGTTTAGAAGAAAAGAAATGAAGCTGCAAAATGTAACCAGTAACCAGTAATTAAAACAACAGGAAGGATCACTTATGCTCCAGTGAGGCAGAAAGTTTTTTTTTTTTTTACAGGTAATATGACTCTGCTGTGGCTGAAGACAGGATCTGACCTATGAACAACTGAGATATTTAATTCTTTTATGAGCTTAAACTGGACACCTTTTCAATATCCAACCAAAATTTGGGATTATTGTACCACTGGAACACTGAACTGTCTTTTAGTCTCCAGCTAATAAAAAAATATTGTTTAGGGTGTTCTAGAACAACCCAAAACCCAAAACACCAGTCTTACTGCACAAAGAAATAAAAGTTTATGCTTTCAGACGGGTCTGGAATTTACAAGGTAAAAACATGGAGATGGAAGCATCAGGCTGTGGGATTATTTTTCACTGTCTATGCTATTGGTGCATTTCGCAGAGAGGAGGAAAAAAAAAGATCTACCTCAGTTACTTCAACTTTGCTTTGACACAATTATTTGTTCAAAAGATTATGTATGCAAGTTAGAAACCTTTTTGATGTCTTCCTGCAATCTGTTTTTGCTGTACAACTAAAGCTCCGACTTGTGAATATGTAAAAGCGCCCCTTCACAGCAGTCTCTCTGAGCTCTAAACTTCTGTTGTCTTTGATCAAATAAAACCACCGTGGGCCTCGACAAAACATCAAATCACTTACAGGGAGATGGCAAAAACAAAGTAAGGGAAAAAGGAGCTTGGACAGTCTTTAGATGACCGTTGAACAATGTTTAATGATGCTGGCTTAAAGCCTCCAGGCTAGAATCCTGAGAAGAATTATCACATGGATCTGAAGAGGGATTAAAACTCCCTCTAGTCCCATTTTTCTCCTCTCTTCAATTAGTAAAGAGAGGAATAAAAAAGAGGCCTTTTTTCATTCAGGCAGAGATGGAGATGGCTCTTTGCCACTTTTGGTTGTGCAGGAGCCCGAGGACCTGTTAGAGTGCTCACACTGATAATATTTCTACAGGAAAAAAAAAAGAGAGAAGGAGAAGGGAAGACATGAAAAAAAATATGGATGCCTTGGAGGATAAAAATGCTTACTGCAGGGTTTTATGAACGCAATCGCCTCCATTAACTAATTAGGAATATTAAATGGCTTCAAAGTAGTCCATGATGGAGGGAAGTGAGGCTGATTTAAAAGCTCCGGGTGAAATGTTTTCCAAATCTTTTAAAAAGTTTGATAGACTGAGGACGAATGAAAACAGAAAAGTGCATGAGTAGCACAGCATAAATACGGTCATATATCATTCCTCGTTTTGAATTCGGACTCACATTGATTGGATTATGGCACCGGGCTGCTGGAATGAGTCATCTAATGTGTAAATCATGCACAAGTTGATTGAAATTGAAGAAAGAGGAGCTGGGGAAGGCACAGAATGGATATGCAAGCACAAAATAACTGAAATACTTGTTGACCGAAGCACAAAACTGCATTCTGTGAGCTGCAGTATGATGAAATAAGTCAATGCAGAGAACAACTATTCCATAAAATAATGATTTAAACTGACTTTATGGGAGCTCAGTGGAAATCTGGATAATTACCTCACACTGGTGCATATTGGTTCATTTGGTTTGCATGCAGGTTCCTTGCAAAAGTATTGGTACCCCTGTAGATCTTTCACATGTCGTCATGCTGTAACCGCAAACATTAACATTATTTGATGGGAATTTTATGTGACAGACTGATTAGTAATGTAAGGTACTAATCACCAGTTCAAAACATATAAAACAGTTATTTAAAAAAAATACATAACTATTTGGCTAAAGTCATTAAATGGAAAAAAATATGTAACCTCTGCTGATATAATGTATCCTCACAGCATGATGCTGCCACCACCTTTCATTACTACGGGTGTGATGTGTTTATGGTCATGTGAATTTAGTTTCACATCATTTTCTGCTTCAATCAAATCATTTTTTTATGCGTCATCTATCTAGAGCCTCTTTCACTCATGTGTTGTGTCCTCAACATACCTTGAAATAAACTGCAACAACGTTTTTTTTTTTTCTTCTTCTCTCAGCTCTTTCATAAAGTCAAGATTTATGGACCATATGACTAATGGTTGTCCTCTCAACAGATTCGCCCACCTGATGAGCGAACCTCCATGCATTACAGTCGACGTAAATCACACAGAATCACACTCTGTTTACTAATAAGGTGACTCATGAAGGCATTTGCTTGCACTAATGGCTACTAGATTAAAGGAGGCTGAATTTTAATTTCTTGTTTCCACTTGACAATTAATTGTTATTTTGTGTTGACCCATCATAAACTTCCACACTAAAGTGTGTGGTTATAAAGTGACAGAATGTCAAAATGTCAAGGGGTTTGTGTCATGCATGCCTTCGTCATTCTGTCGGTTTTCCCAAAAGACTTCTTTCATCTGCTCTTGTGTTTGAAACGACCTGCCCTCCATCTTCAATCCAATCCCCCAACCTGCCTTCCCGTTAGCCTCTCTCTCAGAGTAAAAAGAAAAATCTATCTTTAGAAAGTATGGACAGCTATCCTTTTTTTCCCCTCCCTTCTTTCATCTCCTTCCATCTCGGGGAGCATTCTTAGGAGGAAAAAGGGGTTTCGCTTAATGGGCCATTCTCCTCTGAGAGATTCTGCTCCCCTCCATCACTGCTTCTCATTTACTCTCTTCTGTTTTCTTTTTTTTTAACTGGGAGGATTTGCAGAAAAGAAAGGGAGAAGATATTGAAACAGGGATGTTCAGGGGGGGATTTAGACATGAACAGAGTGATGTAGCAGAAGATACAAGATGGCGGGATGCTGACTGCAAGTACAGACATTTTAACAAGCAAATTAAACTGCTATTGTATTGATTTGCTTCATTTTTGTATTAGAGTCGCAATTAGACACTTGGATGCAAATGGCTTCAACTGTAAGCAGTGACAAGAAATAATAAATAAAAATCAACAAAAATATTCTCTCAGACCTGCCGTAAAAGATTATGCAGCCCTAAATAAAACATGTGGTGTGTATAAACCAATCTACACTTAAATTGGTTTAAGTGTAGAACATAATCACAGCAAAATTTACAAATGACCCACAGCTTGCAAAATTGAAAGAAAAGTGCTCAATCTCAACATTGCAAATAAAGTTTACCAACTTATCAGGAAAAAAGCTAAAACGTTTCGAGAAATATTTAT